GTATTATCTACACAGTCACATCACTTGAGATTGTTTGTATGGAGGCTTATTAACTTACCTATATGTTTAGGGCTGTGTGAGTAAACAGGTATAGAAAAAAAGGAGAAACAAGCAACATAACAGAGCCCTTATATCATCTCCATCATCTACAGTGACAGAGATAGGGATTCTGGATGAACAGAATTGTTTGTCATTCTTCAGTGCAAATGAATTTGAAAAGGGTATCTATAGGGCAACAGAACTGTAACCATGTAGATCAGCCTTTCTCAACCTTTCTACTGCAGCGGAACCCTGAAATAATTTTCAGGTCTCAAGGAACTCTTACAAAAATCAATTTATTGGAGGTCAGTGTAAAAAATGCCACTTATAGTGGTGGTCAGTGGAAAGAATGTCCCCATACAGTGATGGCCAGTGGGAAGTATGTCCCCATACAGTAGTGGCCAATGGGAAGAATGTCCCCATACAGTAGTGGCCAATGGGAAGAATGTCCCCATACAGTGATGGCCAGTGGGAAGTATGTCTCCTTACAGTATTGGCCAGTGGGAAGTATGTCCCTATACAGTAGTGGCCAGTGGGAAGAATGTCCCCATACAGTGGTGGCCAGTGGGAAGAATGTCCTCATACAGCAGTTTTCAGTGGGAACAATGTCCCTATATAGCAGTGGCCAGTGGGAAGAATGTCCCTATACAGCAGTGGTCAGTGGGAAAAATGTCCCCATACAGTGGTGGCCAGTGAGAAGAATGTCCCTATACAGTGGTGGCCAGTGGGAAGAATGTCCCTATACAGTGGTGGCCAGTGGGAAGTATGTCCCCATACAGTGGTGGCCAGTATGTCCCCATACAGTGGTGGCCAGTGGGAAGAATGTCCCCATACAGTTGTGGTCAGTGGGAAGAATGTCCCCATACAGCAGTGGTCAGAATGTCACCCTTACAAACAACTAAAATGGGTTCAGGCGGATGGCCCTGCTAAGTGGTATTGACCCAGGAACTATGCAAGCACCATCAAATGGGAGGTCAAGCAGTCACAGTTCAAGGAACCTGGAGCAACCTTTGGAGGAACCCAAGAGTTCCACTGAACCCTGGTTGAGAATGGCTGGTGTGGATAATAAAGGTTAATAGAACAAAGTGACAGTGTCTTTCTTCTCCACCACCTGCTCCTGTGGCAGTGTCACCCTTCTGTCTGCCCCATTACCACCCCCCCCAGTCCCACCTCACAGTACCTGTTTATACAAGTGGCTTTGACGTGTGCACATAGGCAGTGTACAGCATGTAACTGGCACAGGTCTTCCATATTCACCGTGCTAGACACTACACACAAGTTCTCTTCCTGTTGCCCAGCAACAATTCAAGAGGCAAAAATTCCACCAAACACTAAACATCTGAGAGCGGAGCAGTGTGATACGGCATGCAGCATGTCAGCAGGTTCAAACGTGTTATTATATGAGGAGCAGATCATGAAATGTACGCATCCTTCACCCACATATAACAGAGGCTTCTGCTATGATGAGATACTGACACATGTATACATCTCCGGATCATTTCTAACTTATCATCACATCTTCCTGGTGCATTGTACATGTATGTTATTTGTCCAGTCCATTGTACCCCTAACAGAGATATGTGACCCCCCCAAGACATGTCAATTCTGCTTGGAACAGCTTCACAGCAGGGTTTAGCTTTGGGAAGAACCAGGGGTGGACTGACAACTCATGGGGCCCCCCGGCAATAGGGGATCATGGGGCCCCTGTGTCCTTGCCCAAACTCAAAAAAGCCTATGAAAAAGGTACCAGGGGCATCTCATGGGGCCCCCTACTGACCCCGGGCCCTTATATATATATATATGTGTGTGATTTTGCATTTCCAGGTAGGGGGCGCTCGCACTCGGCTGTCTTTCCCCTCTCACCTCCTGCACACTGCTTTGTATGGCTCTGCACACAGCACACAGCCTCATAGTAAAACTACACAGAACAAAGTTAACCCTTTGATCGCCCCAGATGTTAACCCCTTCCTTCGCAGTGTCATTAGTACAGTGTCATTGCTTTTTATTAGCACTGATCACTGTATCAGTGCCACTGGGGATGTCAGTGACACCAAGTCAGTTTCCCCCCAGTGTCAGAATGCCCGCTACAGTCCCACAGTCCCGTTATAAGTTGCTGATCACTACCATTACTAGCAAAATAAATAAATAATTCTAGTATATATTCCGCCATTTGTAAACGCTATAACTTTCACATAAACCAATTAATTTACACGTATTGGGAATTTTTTTAGCAAAGATATGTAGCAGAATACATTTTGGCCTAAATTTATGACAAAATTAGATTTTTTACATTTTTTACTGGACATGTTTAGTATCAAAATGTCAAAGATATTGGGGTTTTTTTTTCAATATTGTCGGGTTTTTATGTTTTTTTTTCACATTCATTTGCCTATTAGCCCTAAAAATGCCCAGAATTTACTATGAGGATTCTCTCCCTCCTTGACTTCAATGGCATTTGCTGCTAAGATTGTATTTACAGGGTTTCAAACAGAAATTACGTAATCCTCGGTGAACCAAACTTGGGCAGATTTATTTGAAAGTTGTGGTTTTGGATATACATTAAAATGTATACAAAGGCATGGTTTGGGGCCTGTTGGATTTCTACAAGGCTTAGCTACAACCTTCACATTCGTACAGTAAACCAGGGGAATAACGCAAATAATCAAAGCTGTGCACCTGACAGACAATTCTCAAAGGAGAATGTACTTGTAGACAGTTGGCATCTGATGGCACAGGCAATGCCAGTCAATCAAAGGCATGGGGGGAGGGGGTCAATCTGCTACCTCACTTAGAGGCTCAGAAACAGAAAATGAGGTTTTATAGTTGTCACCAGAACAAATCTACCAATGAGAATAACTGTTGTGGTGACAAACCTCTCTAATAAGAAATTCCACTTTAGAGAGCATTCCGCTGACTTTCTGTTGTGTCTCCAGGTCAGGAAGTGTAAGGAAATCTCCCCAAGGGGACACAGGTGAAAAATTAACCTGACAATGTTTTTAAACTATTCCCTACTCTATCCATTCAAAAAAACGTTTTGGCTATACATAAACTTTACCTACGTTACAAATACATTGTAAGCACCTAAATATATAAGTAATTTTAAACTTTGGAAAGCTATGATTTAACAGGAATTAACCATGCTCCTAACTTTGTGGGAAGAGTTTGGGGATGGCCCCTTCCTGTTCCAACATGACTGCACACCAGTGCACAAAGCAAGGTCCATAAAGACATAGAGGAGCGAGTTTGGGGTGCAGGAACTTGACTGGCCTGCACAGAGTCCTGACCTCAATCCCATAGAACACCTTTGGGATGTATTCGAGCGGAGACTGTGAGCCAGGCCTTCTCATCCGACATCAGTGCCTGACCTCACAAATGTGCTTCTGGAAGAATGGTCAAACCTTCCCATAGACACCCTCCTAAACCTTTTGGAACGGCCTTCCCAGAAGAGTTGAAGCTGTTATAGCTGCAAAGGGCGGGCCAACTCAATATTGAACCCTACGGACTAAGACTGGGATGCCATTAAAGTCATGTGCTGTAAAGGAAGGTGTCCCAATACTTTTGGGAATACAGTGTATGTTTAGGAGCAAAAGGTGACATTACACTTTAAATAATAACACATGTAAAGCATGACACTAACAATAGAAATGCCACCACTGGAATGTCCCTTTAAATTTTTCAGGGGATTTTGGGCATCTCTGTAAGAAACAATATAACCCGTTGATGTTAAACAAAACAATTAATCCTGTTGGTTTGGCAAGCATCCGGCTGTGCTATCCCCTGCAGCATGTGATGGTTTAATTTAAATAATACCGAACAGTGTATCCCACTAAGTCAGGGCTTAGCTACATAATAGGTTATGTGACTCGTCTTACTTCTTTCCTTTCTGTGCCATGTTAGCTATGTGAGCTGTGATTGCCTAAAATATTTCTCTGTGCGTTCAGCACAATGTTAGGCAGCAAGCACATGACTGTAACTACTGTTTAGGCGCTGACAACAAACCATTATAGGGCTTTGGGATCTTCTGTAAGTAAAGACTCGCATTAAAAGGTATATAATCAGAAAGCATTTTCTCTTGTTAGGGGCTTTAACCACATCATTAGGTCTTTTACTCCATTATTTAAAGGGAAGGTTTTATGCATTTGCAATTTTTTTTTCAGTGTTTATCTTGCTTACTACTAGATTTGAGTATTTTGATTTGGGGACAATTGATTTTTAGACATTTACAGATTTATTTGTGAGTGAAATTTTGCTTAAACAGACCCTGTTGCCAACTTAAAAGAAAATGTGTTTTTTTTTAACACAGAAAAATCAAGTGATTTTAATGCTTACTTGTGGTGTTTTTCCATTCCATGAATAATTTTAACTCACTTGCAATGTACCTTTGAACTTGCTAGAAAAATGGATTAGATCATTTTCTAGTGCAGCCCCCCCCCCTCCTTGCAAGTAGCCCTATCTTCTTCTAGGGGGTTCTAATTACTCCTTCTGCTAGCTCCTCCCCACACCACCCTACATACTGGGAAACTGAGTTCAGTACTCATGGTAATTTTCCTTTCCTGGTGCCTACCCATTGCAGCATACATATGGTATTAGCTCCGCCTTTAATGACCAACAGAACCAATATTATCTATATAAGTGTTTGAGCCCAACATCAGCCATTTCTTCAATAGATTAAAACATCAGCCATTCCTTCAAAAGATTAAAATTACATGGTTAGGCACCATGAAAGGAGAATTACAATAAGTATGCAATTACATTTTTCATTTTCCTGGTGCCTATGTGGCAGCATACTGTACATATGGTAAATAACTAGCAGAAATGGCAGGGTAATGCTAATGAAGATAAATGTACTAACTGAATAGGGAAGCGATAAGGCTCTCCTACCAACCTCCACTTGTGTTATTCAATCCAGATCTATCCTGTAGTAAGAAACAAATGGGGTACAAGCAGGGGCTGAAACTGACCATTTGGAAACTGGGCAGTCCACAGTGAATATTTGGGGTCAGTAGGGGGCCCCATGAGATGCCCCTTTACCTTTTTATACAGGCTTTTTAGAGTTTGGGCAAGGACACAGGGGCCCCATGATCCACTATGCCACATCCAGCCCCATGAGTTGTCAGTCCGCCCCTGGGTAATCAAGAGAATCATGTAGTTTTCCTGCATATAGTTTCTGTCTGAACTATTCCATATGCCAAAGGAAGGCTGAGATGCCTCTCATGGAGTGTGCAGTAATTCAAAGTGGATCCAACTAATCCTTGTAATCCCTTGGATGATCTTAACAATTCAAAGCCATTGTCTGTGATGAGGCCTCCTAGCCCCTGTTTGCTCCTGTCGGGATTATGATCATTTCATCTGAGTGCCATTAAACAAATAGGATGATTACTTGAGTAAGTGGCATAAAGCTCTAGAAACACCAGACCATTCACAAATTTTAGGTCTGAATCATCAACAAAGGCTCAGTAAGGGGCCCCATGAGATGCTACGTGGAATTTAGGCTTTTTAGAGTTTGGGCACAGGACACTGGGGCCCCATGATAACCCTATTGCCCGGGGGTTCCCATGAGTTGTCAGTCCGCCCCTGGGTACAAGAGAATCATGTAGTTTTCCTGCATATAGTTTTTAGTGTCTGAACTATTGGCCATATGCCACCCAGGAATTAGGTGAGATGCCTCTCATGGTCCCAGTGAGCAAAAGTAGATTTTTTGGGGGATCCAATCATATGCCTTGTAATACTTGGATGAGTTTAACAATTCACAGGGATAGATTGTCTGTGATGAGTGCCTCCTTTCCCCATGTTTGCTCCTGTAGGCTTATGATCAGTTTCATCCCAGTGCCCTGTGAAAAAATAGGATGATTTTGAGGGGTAAGCCTGCTCAAGCTCTAGAAACACCAGACTCATTCAGTTCCTATTTTCAGGTCCGTTGTTCATCAAATGATCGGCTGGCTTCAAGATCCAGTCTCCATCTACGTGGGCAGCTGGATTCTGTAGCCAGCTTTACAAATAAACTTTTTAAGTACTTGTGTCAAGTAACATATATATGTCTGAGACAAACTCACACTGCGGGTAGTTCACCTCCAAGAAAGATTAAACTCTGAAGCCCCTTCAGGCAAAGGTGATTTCCTCCAAAAAGGTTGTTAACATCTTTAGGAGTGCAAGGCTGGCTTGTAGTTACTGAAGCCATTCCTCCACTGTCCAGGGAGGCTCTGTCCATTGCACCTAGGGGACAGGCCAACTCATATGCCTTAGCAAATTTTTTGGGGGCACAATGAGGCAGTCATTGTTCTACTATTTCTTGAGATTAATGGAGAGGTCAAGGGATGGAGTAATAACTTCTATGTTCTGCCATTACCAAAGGCTAGTCAGATTTGAGGTTGAAGATGTACAGAGCAGTCCACTCCAGAAGATCCTCAGGCTTGTCCACCTGCCCAGCCATTCTCTCTTTTGCATTTTTTTTATTATACATTGTGAAGAGTACAACAGGAGCAGTGAAATTAATTCAAAGGGAAGAGCCAGGAACTCTAGCTGCAACATCCCACTCACCAGTAGACCTAAAAAGCTAAGGAGTGATTTAGTATCCAATGGTCTAGTATCCAATGGTCCTTTAACATCAATTGATCTAAATTACATTAAGTATTCTGTGTCGCCACCTCCCTGCCTTCCCTTCTTGGTTTAAAGTGGCTAGCTGGGTTTTTTTCTACTGAATTTCAAAACTATTTCAGCACTCTGGAAGCCCAGAAATTAGATTAGATCTTTTTAAATTCATACAAATTCCACAGCAATGCTGATGATCTCAAGTACGAGAGCAAAATCCTTCCCCTCCAAACTAATAAGACCAGAAACACTTGAAATCAATTTCAAATATATTACACAAGGGAATAGAGAGATCTTTGTTTCTCAAAGGTTGAAAGAAATGTTCTTCTGGAAGAAAAGCAATATTCTAGGAGAGATTTGTGTCTCTACTTGAATAAAGAACATCAATTGTTGCAAGTTACAAGTTTCAGGAGATTGTACATGAAACACATTAGCAGCAGAAACTCATTATACTGGATGATGGGTCACAGTGAAGACGTAGTACTATAGGCACTTTATATCATATCACATTTATAACCACTCTGGAAAAGTGAAAAGAAATATCAAGCATAAGGCTTACTGAGTTTATCGAGGCCTGAAATATTAATCTGAAAAATTGTGATAATGTAACCGGGCAAGATCTTCTCTGTTCCTTCAGAAGATGATGGAGGATTCTACAGGGAACTTTACAGCAGAGGAGTTTCTAGGAGAGAAGATGCTGGACATGGAGGAAAGGTCACATGTTTGCAGGAGAGAACACTGATGGTCTCAGCAGGGAAGTCCCCAGTAAGGAATCCTCTGAAAGTCTTATTATTCATCAAGAGAGCTGGAAGAGAAAGTTCCAAGCCAAAATATAAAAAGCGTGACCTAAGGGGGGGGGGGCTCACATGTGTGCTGAAGAATGCTGCTGCTTTGATTGGAGGGAAAAGCTGATGCAGGATTGAGTGACCAGGCTGCAAAAGGAGTGTAGCGCAGACCCCAAACTGGTCCTACTGTTTGTCCCAGGTTCTGTTCCCTATTGGGTGCACAGCAGCCAGGCACACAGTGGATCATCAGCCTTTCCACACAATAGCCAGACAAAAAGTGTCTCTTTTAGAATTTTTTGCTAGAAGAACTTGGATAGGGTGAAGGGTGAGCCTTGGGATACCCCAGAACTTTTCTTCTAGCTTTAGGAGTCTACCCCCCCCCAGCTCTCTGGAACTGGGACTGCGTTGAACCACTTGTTGGCTCCAACCGTATGGCCCAGGAGGGCAGACAACCCCTCCAGGCTGGGACTTTCTTCACCAGAAAGAAGGACCCTACTGTTTTAGGCCCCAGACTATTTATGCACAGCTCAGCCCCCTACTGGTATCTCTCTTGATCAGCGATTGGGTGAGTCAGCATAAGTATTCATGCTGCCCATTTGCTTACTCCACACCTATGTTCCAGAACAGCCCAGAGAGTTCTGGAATGCAGGGAGGAGCAATCAAATCTGCAGCCTGTGAAACCCAGAATAGACCAAAGCAAGCACTCTGTTCCATTGGCTACAGAGGAGCCAAAACTAAATTTGCCTATACCTACTAGTCCTTAACTAGGAGGGTGCTATAGGAGCAACAGAGCATTTTTTTTATATTGAACAGATCAAAGGGCCACAAGTAAGGATACCAAATACAGTGGATTATGAAGGGACATTTGTTGTGGTGCACAGCCCTGTTACTTTTACTGATGCGCATATTACTATTAATGTAGAGGACCCGAGTATGCTGGGACTTTGGGATTTAAAACCCCTGGATTGCTGGGACTTGATGACCCAACTGGATTGGCTCCTAGATGCGGCTTGCTAGGGGGCACTCGATGTGGGGAGGAGCCAGGAGTGCCAGTGGGGGACCCAAGAAGAGGAGGATTGGGCTGTTCTGTGCAAAACTACTGCACAGAGCAGGTGAGTATACAATGTTTGTTATTTTTTTTAAAAATGGAACATTTACAATCGCTTTAAAAATATATTGGAGGGACATGGAGCCACTTCATCAGCTGCTGTGGTACGCAAATGTTTTTTTGCCCATTTCCAGAGGGAAGGGGAAATCCTTACTTAGTGTGCCAACATCCTGCAGGTGCTGAAGAAGAAGAAGGTCACAAACAACTTGCAGGCAGTGGAGGAGACTGATCAGTTTCTATGTGATCAGTTTCTACTTGGGCTAAGAAATGTGCCCCTGAGGCAGATGCTCCATTAGAAGGTGTATGATGACTCTGCTAGAAGCTTCCACCAGCTACAGAAGGAGGCCATGAAGCAAGATGGAGAAGAAAGATTTAGGTCTGGTATACACGGTCTGAAAATCGGTAGTTCAGCAGGAACCTGTTGACTTTGAATCCATGTGCACAGCTTTTTGCTCTGTTCATGGTAAAACGGGCATGTTGGAAAGGTAACATTCGATCAGCAGCGAATGGACATTTTCCTCAATGTTTTTTTTTTCAATATAAAGCCCATGACTTTACAAATAATAATTTTTAATAACTTTTGTGTTCTACCTGTTCCTAAACCACCAATGACCAAAAGCCAAATCTTATTTCTTCTGTTGTGGGATGATGGAATAATAGTTTTGACCAAATGTTAGGAAATTAACAATTGATGATTGATCTTTTTCTTTCATCCAGTGATTGACCATATAAACAACCTAGTATCCTGCAAAGCTATTCATTGCCAGTAGGGATCACATGTTCCGCCTGGCAGTACTAGAGTCATTGGTTCAAATCCCAGTCACGGCACCACCTGCCTGGAGTTTGCATGTTCTCCCTGTGCCTGTGTGGTTTCCTCTGGGTACTCCGGTTTCCTCCCACACTCCAAAGACATGCTGTTAGGTTAATTGGCTCCTGTCTAAATTGTCCCTAGTATGTGTATGTATGAATGTGAGTTAGGGACTTTAGATTGTACGCCCCTTGAGGGTTAGGGACTGATGTGAATGTACAATATATATGTGTAAAGCGCTGTGTAAATTGACAGTGCTATATAAAGTACCTGAAATAAATAAATGTCAAAAATGTTCAGTATAATCCTGGAAATTCATCATTTTAAAGGCATCCATATACAAAACGTATACCTGTTCCACCTCCATTGTCGTCTGTTCTGAGGAGACCACTGGTGCTGGGAAAGATTTCTGAGATCCAAACCACAGAGTACATATGGGTGATCCCAAACAAAGTTCAAAGGTTCCAAAAAATGTATTGATCCATACAAAAGCATAAAGCTAATAGTCTATGTCTAGAAAATGATAAAATAAAGCGAGCGCTAAATCTGAGTAATAGAGTAAGCAGCTGAACACACTAAAAGGTAAACCACAATGCCTCTAAACAACAAAAAATAAATATTGGTGCAGCGCTGAACATTTAAACAAAAGACCTGCTGTGTGTTTTATAAAAACGCATATACAGCAAAAATGCATTATTTATATATGTGGAGTGATCAGACAAGATGTAACGCTGAAGATGCACTAGAAATAAGAATATAGAAAACGCATGATCATGACATGCGTGGAAGTATCCAAATGTCCAAAATGTATGAGGATCAGGTACAACCTTCCAAAAGTTTATATAGAATCCAAATGTGTATATATTCTCCTCTGGATGATGTAATTGATGTACAGAGTGCGCACTTACCAGATGCGCTAATAAAAAGCGCGTTGTTATATAGTATTCCTGGTGTGAAGAGGTCCCTCGGGTATGGATGACGATACAGCCTAGGGGTGGGTGGTCCTCCTCAGGGTCCTGGGGTGCGTTAGTCTTTCCAGATATTTAGCCTCTTTAAGGTACCGGTATACTGACTGGAAGAGGTGCTGAGGGATTTAAATCTGATCACTCCACATATATAAATAATGCATTTTTGCTGTATATGCGTTTATAAAACACACAGCAGGTCTTTTGTTTAAATGTTCAGCACTGCACCAATATTTATTTTTTAATAGTCTTTGTCTGCCACCATGTTTTAGCCCTAAAAGAGGCTTGATAGAAGACCATGTTTTAGGGTTGAAACATGTTAGTGAACGCAAACTTTGAGCTGTATGTCTTTGTTCAGATAAATACTTTTTTTGGAATCTTACATACTGTAGAATTGGGATGGGTTAGAAGCTCATTGAGGCTTCATTGTTGTATTTGTTTCTGCTGGGAAGCAATCTCCTTCACATCTTGCCCCAGTGCTAGGGGTCACATCATCAGAAAGTGGGGAGAAACACACACAGCACAGGTAACCCTTTTTTGTAGAGAGAAAAGGATCCTCAGATAAACCTTTGTCAGATTGTAACTGTTGTCTGAATCCTAATGGAAGGTATTCTCCTGACTTCCCATGGTATCCAGTTGGAGATAAAAGGGAAATTTTCTCAAATATGATCTATACCAGCAATGGGCAAACTACGGCCCGGCGGACCTTTTAATCCGGCCCGCGGAGCTAGGCTCCCGCTAGGCTCCTCTCACAGTCCGCCCTGAAGACCGGTGTAGCATGAAAATCTGTCTCCTATGAGGATCTGCCCCCCTCGACGTATCTGCACATGTGCCGGAGATCGCCGATCGGCTGCTAATGCCTGAAACTGGCACATGCGCAGATACGTCGAGGGGGACAGATCCTCATAGGAGACAGATTTTCATGCTACACCGGAACGGCGCGGGAACACGGCGAGAGGAACGCGCGGAGCAAAGGTAAGTGAATTGACACAGGGGGGACTTGGGGACTTAATATGGGGGATGAATTAATATGGGGGATGAATTACTATAGGGGGGATGAATTACTATAGGGGGGATGAATTACTATGGGGGATGAATTACTATATGGGGGATGAATTACTATGGGGGATGAATTACTATATGGGGGATGAATTACTATTGGGGATGAATTACTATGGGGGATGAATTACTATGGGGGATGAATTACTATATGGGGGATGAATTACTATATGGGGGATGAATTACTATGGGGGATGAATTACTATATGGGGGATTAATTACTATGCTTACTATTGGGGAATATTACTATACTTACTATGGATGACACATACACATCATTCATCTACTCTTGGTCCGGCCCCCGGGTCCAATATATGAACCCATTGCGGCCCTCAAGTCAAAAAGTTTGCCCACCCCTGATCTATACAGTAATGAAAACCTGAAAAATGTTCTAACCTTTCTCCTCTTGCAAAAAAATGCAAATTGCCCTCATTAAATAAATGTAATGAGCTGGCTAAAACTGATCAACTATATGACCTGTATAGTTTGAATAACGTGTGTTAGTAACAAGGGGAATGAGTTGTTAACCTTGGTCACCCCTTGGATATCTGCAGATGCTGGTACTCTGTAGGCAACCCAATTATCATTTCACATCTGCTGATCCTATTAACAAACACTGTATTTGTGCTTACAGCAAAACTTCAGGCAAACATAGAAAAACACAGGTGAAGTACATATGAGGAAGTTTTATTTCCGATCAAAAGATTTGTATTTTGCTTTATCCAGTTCTGAGATTTACAGCCCTGCCACACAGCCAAGTAAATTAAACCATTTTCTCTGGTTTTTGTAAAGAATACTGTAGTGTCAGTCATGCTGTATACCCCCAGCTTGCTGCTTGGATATTGAAGGAGAAACAGGAAACTGGAGAGGTCATCCTTCTACTCAAACTTCTCTCCTCTCCTTTCAAATGTAGGTAGTTAGTCTAGTTTATTTAAAAGGTAAATCGAATGATTTTTAAATGAATACAGAATTGTGTTAATTTGTGTCTTTTATATCAGGGGACTGATGAAGTCACGTAATTCGTTATGATATGTGTGGGGAGGAGCCAGGTGACATCAGAGCCGGACTGTCAGAAGTGCAGTAGGTGTGCCGGAACAGGGCTACATTTTACCAATGTGAAACTACTTCTTGTAAATGTGAGTGTTATTTTAATAAAATGGAGTCTATCATTTTAACATACTACAGTACACTATGATGGCTTTATATGGTGTGAATTATGTTATGGTGGTAAAGTGAGAGACAGATACCTCTTATGAATGACTGATGCAAGAGGAGGATCGAGACCTGTGAGAGGACTCACCATCTAGAGAGAAAACGTGCAATTTGACCTATTATAAATTTATGGGTCAACTCATGGAGGAGAGGGTTCATCTATAATATCACCAGTGTGGTGGTGGTGCACTTCTAAGGTTTACAGCCCCCGGAAAGTGCAATCACTTACACATCAGCAGGAAAATGGCTATATGAACATTAGCTTTACGTGGAAGAGACTTTATGGGACTGTTGACCCATAATTTATGGGTCAGCTCACGGAGATAAGGGTCTACCTATAATATCACCAATGTGGTGGTGGTGCACTTCTATTTTAAGGTTTACAGCACCGGGAAAGTGCGTTCACTTACACATCAGCAGGAAAATGGCTATATGAACATAAGCTTTAGGTGGAAGAGACTTTATGGGACTGTTTTGTCTTGACTTTATGTTTTGATGAGGAATGATTTGGCACTTTTCAGCACTATATATATATTTTTGGCTATGTAATATTATTTTTGGAGTAGCAAAACACTACCCATCTTTTTGGTTCTAGTACCTCCCTGCACACCATTATTGGCTCCATCACTTGCAGGGAGATCATCCAGTGGGGGTGTCGGCATCTGCAATGCACCCCAGACACCTGCATCTCCCTTGTCCCCATCCTGTGCTCAGTGGGAACCACCCAGGAGATCAGATCTGTGGGAGCCATTGGGAGACAAGCTGTCACTTGTAAACACAGAAACTGGACTTCTGAGTTTACAAGTAGATACCTCCCAACTTTTTCAGATGGGAGTGAGGGACACCTATTAGCAAAAGTATGCAGGCATAAGGCACACCCTATGCCATGCCCCCTTAAAGAAGAATTATACAGAAAAAAATATTAGCTAAACCCACAAGTGCTTTTTTTTTGATCATTACTATTTCTTTATACTGGCTTTAAAAATTTACAAATGCAACAATTTAGAAACTGGATGAAAGGTTTAGCAAGATTTAAATACTTTTTGAAAGATAAATAATGCATTTTATATACAACTATATAGATCAAGCAAAACTGAGAGACAAATGAGGAGTAAAGAGGGACAGGGACTTTGTTCGAAGTCAGGGACAGTCCCTCAAAATCAGGGACAGTTGGGAGAACTCAAGTAATAGTGGTGAGCAGGGAGCAGAGTGCCTGATCCAGAGGTGGTGGAACAGAGTTTCATCAAGTTCCAGCTGAAAAAAGTCCTGGTTATACATATAGTACATTTTAATTTTGAGACTGATTTAACCAACCTGACATTTCGGCTTGCTGTTGACAGCTTATCCACTATTTCTGGTCTAGAAACCTGTGAGATTCCCAGATTCCCAGTGACACCAGTGAGAAGCATTGAGGGCCGCTCCCTCCTTCAGGTGTTGCACCTATAATTGATGTTCTCAGTGCACCACCCAGGCCTGCAGATCGGGGTAAACTCTCTGAAGTGTTTCTAGATACACTTTTGAACTATAGGGTTTGCTCAGTGAGGCAGTGCAGAGGGTGAGGAAGGCATACATAATGCAGTAGCTCATAACATTATTAACATTATTATTTCAGATCAGTATAAGACAACTTCTGATTGGTTGGAAATGATCAGAACACTAATGTCACTGGTCTTGAAGAATACACCATAAGGTGCTCATAGTTCCAAAAATACTGATTTTCAAAAATGCAAAAATAGCTGTTGGCCTTAGCAGCTAATAAGATGCTTCCATTTTGTAATTAACAGCCGAAATTTAACTTGGTGGAAAGTTAAATTATATATATTTGGTTTTAAATACAGGAAGGGGTAAGGAGCAGTATTGTGTCTTAGAGACTAGTACTGTGGGCTTCCAGAGCTCCTGAAAGGAGTGCTCTTTGCATGGTTTGTTTTCACGCTTTCCTTTTATGACTTTCCTCCACATGATCCATTGTCTTCTAAACATACTATAACGTTAGCCATTGTGCAGCCTGAGCTTTTTGACTATGTAATTTCCTTACAGTTCCTGCACCCATAAATGCATTGCGGGTCGAGATGTGTGGGGGTGCTCTCCCGTGCATCTCGTCAGAGCAGCGTGATTTGGCTGTGGGCGGTTGCGGGTGCAGGAACTGCAAGGAAATTGCTTGGTCAAAAAGCTCATGCAAGCGTGTTTTTTGGCAGAAAACTCAGGCATGATATCCCATTCAAATTAATAGGCTGCCTTGCCCGTGCAAACGCGGGCCGCATGGCTCGCACAAGTATGAACCACAGCTTAATCAGTTCTTCTCTAAAATTGTCCCTGGCATATGTGTATGACTGTAGCAGGGACATCAGACTAGGGACTGATCTGATGAGTGACTGTTCTCAATAAACACTGTGAATTATGCAGGCCAGCCTTTCTCCACCAAGGTTCTGTGGGACCCCAAGGTTGCTCCTGAGCAGGGGCTCTTAAGTTGGGGCCCTGGACCCCTAAGTTGAAGTTACACTCTGCAGAGCTTGGTGAGGAGAGCTGGCTGAGAGCTGATTGGAGGGAAGAAACACCCCCTCCTCCACACAGCACAGAGCTGAGGTTGTCACACTCTTGGAGATCTCTCTACTGTCACCATTTTTCTAATGGTGTCAGGAATACTTGTCAGAAGTGATTCATGCTGATAGCAGAGGAATAAAACAGCAGACAGAAGTAACACTTATTCCTCTAAATTGAGAAAAGTACATACTACAGAATGATATGCTTTGTTCATATATCATGTCTGAGGTTTATAAACACTTTAAGAACCAGTGCTCCAGAGGTTGCTAGGGGTTCTTGAGCAATCTGGCTCTCAGATAAGCAACTAATGACACCAATGATCTTTTCACCTATCTGTAAGGGGCTTTCTTTCCACTGACCTACATTTGAAGGAACATTCTTCCTACTGATCACCAATGTATAGAGCATTCTCCCCACTAACCCCAATGTAAGGAACATTCTTCCTACTGATCACCAATGTATAGAGCATTCTCCCCACTAACCCCAATGTAAGGAACATTCTTCCTACTGATCACCAATGTATAGAGCATTCTTGTCAAGGTCCTACCTTTTCCCTGAGGTTATGTTACTCCATGTGCTGGTGTCCATCTTGGATTCTGCTGTGCATGGTGGGAATCCTTTTATGCCTTCAGGTCTCTGTGGTCCATCCCCCAGAGGGGTGTGGCTGATGACATATAAGCCTGTGGCCCGCACATGCTCTTTGCACTTGTGTCTTGTGTCGCTATTACTCTGTTCTGACTCTCGTGACTCTCCTGGTATCTGATTCGGCTTGTGACTCGACTATTCTTTGTATTCTCCTTTGATCTGACCCTCTGTTGCTGAACCCGGCTCGTGACCTGTGATTCTCGTCTGCTGTCCTGTACTGTTTTGTCCTGTTGTTGTTGACCCGGCTTGTCTGACTACTCTTTTGTCTCTTCCACCAGCTACACGCCATTGGCGGCGGCCATTACCATAGCTGAGGTGTCTCGGGGGCCGCGACCTGGTTCCTGGCTGCGTCAAGTCCATCCCCACCATCAGGGGCCCTGGTGAAGGGAAGCCTGGGACTTAGACTCCGCGCCCTGAGGGACTTCGGTCTGTGGGTGGTGGTTGTCGTCAGCCAGTGCGTTACATTGTTAGGCCTGCCTGTCCGTTCCTCGGCCCCTGCCCTGACATTTCTCCCCACTAACCCCAATGTAAGGAACATTCTTCAAGTTGACCATCAATGTAAGGAGCATTCTTCCCACTGATCACCAGTGTAAGGGGCCTTCTTCCTACTGCCCACCAGTGTAGCAGCATTTTTTCTACTGACCACCAACATAAGGAGTATTCTTCCCACTGATCCCCAATGTAAGGACTAGTCTTCCCACTGACCATCAATGTAAGGGGAATTCTTCCCATTGACCACCAATGGAAGGAACATTCTTCCAGTTGATCACCAATGTAAGGAGCATTCTTCCCACTTATCACCAATGTAGTCAGGTCCTTCTCTCTCAGACTCTCCATGGGACAACCAATATAAAGGGATTCTTCTCTCATGGATCACAAATCTATGACTACTGACCACCAGAGTAGGGGAACACTACACTGACCACTAATGTAAAGAGGCACTTCACCGAGCACCAATGTAAGGCAGAACTTTTCCATTGACCATCATTGTAAGCAAGCATCTCTCCACTGACCACCAGTGTGAAGGAACACAATGGTTTTCACAGTCTTATAGCCATTATTATTAATAATAGTTTCATTCCTTTTTCTTACTGAAAATAATTTTGTTCTATAATGCAGCCCTGGATGTTAAGTATATTACAGTCCTTTTTTGTTTATTCTTTTTGTTATATTGCAACTTATTGTTCACACTAATGTACCGTGAGCTTTAGATATAATAGTCATTAGCAGGAGTTCTCTGAGATCTGAAAGGTATTCCAAGGGTTCCTCAGTGTTGAAAAGCTTGCAAAATGATGATGTAGGCTATGACTGTGTAGTACACAGAGCAAGCTGATTTACATCGTATTACATGGTATTCCCTGTTTACACGATGTCAAGATAAATCACAGGAAATGATTGCACTGCTATCCAAAAACACCTTTGTAGCGTTGCCTTTACATGTTATAACTGAACATTTCCAAAATGGGTGGGTGAGTTGGACAGGTAATGATCAGAGCACAAAAGTCTGATCCTCACTAAGCTTACATACAACAGGTTGTGGAAATGGCAACCATGGATACAAGCCGCTGGTTCCAAGAGGACGTAACCTAAACCTCGCAAGGCAAACAAATCTAAAATTTCAATGCATTATTCACATAATCTCTAAGTAGAGGACATGAATGGGCTTGACAGTGCACCGAAAGTGTTTCACCATGGAGTCTATATTGTAGGAGCACTATGATATGTGGCAGTTATTGTTTAATTTCTAAACGATTAACAGCCATGGAAAGACAAAGGGGGGGATTTAATAAAACTGGTGCGCTCAGAATCTGGTGTGGCTGTGCATGATAACCAATCAGCTTCTATCTTCAATTTGTTCAATTAAGCTTTGACAATAAAACCTGGAAGCTGATTGGTTTCTATGCAGAGCTGCACCAGCTTTTGCATTCTCTAGTTTTAGGAAATAACCCCCAAAGTGTATTAAGCTCACAGTTTTAGGGCTTTTTGTTTGAGCTTGAGCTGCTTTTCTTTCCCATAAAGGTCAATGTACGAGTGAAAGCAACCCCAAGCAACTGGAAGCAGTTTTAACCTCCTTAGCGGTTTTCCCGAGTGTAGCTCGGGGTAAAATTTCAATACCAAGAGCTACACTCGGGCTTACCATGCGGCGTTGCTCAGGGGGTCCCTGCAGCACTTACCTTGTCCTTCGCTCCCGTGATGTGTCCCCTGCAGCGTCCCCGGCCATCTCCTCCGGCCGATGCCGGCATCTGGCTTCCGTGTTCCAGTCCCTGTGACGTCGGAACTTACGGGCGCCGGAACCGGCGGGAAATTTGAAATTTTTAAAAAATTTCATTTTTGCTGTCATTGCTGTTTCAATGCATTTCACATATATTTTGTCCCTACTGCTTTGTCCTGTGCCCTGCCTGCATTTTGACTGTTCTTTCTGCCTGGAAACTTAGAAAGGTCCATGGCGTCCAAAAAGCATCCCTTTACGTCAAAAGCGGTTTTAGAACAGCGATAGTAAATCAGAACCACTTGCAGAATTGAGTGATAATGATTTGTGGGGAAATTCGTCATCAGACATTGAAAACGATTTTGCAACTTTGCTCAGCGATGTGCGAATTTGCCTCTGTATTTCAAATTTCAGTGTTTTTGGTTTGATTATATTATTGAATTAAATGTATTATTATTATATTATTATTTTTTATGATTATTTATTAAATTATAATTTATGATTTCGTGTTTCAAATTTTATCATATCCGGAATGTTTACTAGACTCTTGTTCGGACAGATTTCAGTGAGTTATTCCTAAAACTTACAGCCTACAATAAAAAACTACATATTTCCATGCAAAAAAATGGTACCGCTTTCAGCACAAAAAATCGGAAAGAATCATACCGCCGAGGAGGCGAATCAACTCAATAAAGCAAATCAAAGGAGGTCAGAAGCAGGTCAAAGCAACTCAGAAGCACATGAAAGCAAGAACTTGTCTAGTTTCAGAATCTGATGGCCATGAACAGAGGTCCTTATTGTGGCACCCTCCTAGATAGGTGTAAGGTTTAGATAGATAAGATTTAGTTTGTATTTTGATAGGTAAATTTAGTTGTCATGCTGTAGACAGTGTGGGTATAAAACACAGCTGAGGTAGTGCTTGTGGCTTTGCAGCAATGGCGCCTCTACCAGTGAGTATTTGGTCTTTACCACCATTACATGGGTCTCTCTGATTACACTTACTGGAATAAAGTAGATGGTTGGAAATCTCTGAACCACAGAACGAAACATGAAGTGCCTGCAAACAAAAAAGAGACACACCACCCATGGCTTGTTAGCAGTACATACAAAGGTGCACAATAACAGAGAATAAGAGACAACAGAGCAGACTTTCTCAACCTTTTTACCTTACATGAACCCTTGAAAAAATGTTCACACCCATGGCGTGTTATCATTACATACAGGGGTGTACAATAGCAGAAAATAAGAGACAATAGAGCATCTGTTTTGAACCTTTTTACCCTAGAGCAGGGGTGTCAAACTAGCAGCCCTCCAGCTGGTCCCATCATACCTCTGCCTTTGGGAGTCACGCTTGTAATTGTCAATCTTGCAATGCCTCATGGGACTCATAGTTTGGCAACAGCTGGGGTCTGCCAGTTTGACACCCGTGCCCTAGAAGAACCCTTGAAATAACTTTCAGGTCTCCGGGTACCCCTGAATTACTAGGTGTCAGCAGGAAAATGCCTCTTACATTGATGGCCAGTGGGAAGAATGCCCTTCATACAGTGGTGGTTAGAATGTCAGCTCTGTGATACATGCAGGCACCATCAATTAACCACTTGAGCTCCAGAGGATTTACCCCCCTTAATGACCAGGCCTCTTTTTGCTACCCGGCGCTGCAGTAATTCAACTGATAATTGCGCGGTCATGCAATGCTGCACCCAAACAAAATTTACGTCCTTTTTTTCACACAAATAGAGCTTTCTTTTTTGTGTAATTTGATCCCTGTGCGCTTTTTATTTTTCACGCTATAAACAAAAAAAGGCCAAAAATTTTAAAGAAAAACAATATTTTTTACTTTCAGCTATAAAAAATATATAGTAAACTCAAAGTTGGTTATAAATTTAGGCCAAAATGTATTCTGCTCCATGTTTTTGGTAAAAAAAAATCCCAATAAGTGTATATTGATTGCTTTGTGTGGAAGTTATAGCGTCTACAAACTATGGTATAAACTCTGCAATTTACGCCATTTTTCTGCTATACAGCGCTGCGCTAGTTTAACGGACAATTGCGCGGTCATGCAATATGGTACATAAATGGTATTTGATCGCCTGTGCGGTTTTTATTTTTTTTTGCGCTATAAAAAAAAGTCTGACAATTTTGAGGAAAAAAAACAATATTTTGAACTTTTTGCTATAAAACATGTCCAGTAAAAAAAAAATGCAAAAATCAAATTTAGTCATAAATTTCTGCCAAAATGCATTCTGCGACATGTCTTTGCTAAAAAAAAAAAAAACCCAATACGTGTAATTTAATTGGTTTACACGAAAGTTATAGCGTTTACAAATGGCGGGAAAGATACTGGGATTTTTAGGGTTTTTTTTATACTAATAATGGCGGCGATCAGCGATTTATGGCGGCGATCAGGGACTTATGGCAGCGACCAGCGACTTATGGCGGGACTGCGGGACTGCGGGACTGCGGGACGCGCGGACATTCTGACATTGGGGGGTACTGACTTGGGGTCACTGACATCCCCAAAAACACTAATACAGTGATCAGTGCAAAAAAAAAAAAAACTGACACTGTACTAATGGCAATGGGGAGGAAGGGGTTAACTTTATTTTGCAGGGAAGGGTTATAGGAGTGAGGGGGGTGTTTTACTAGGGGGCGGGGGTGTGTGCTGGACGGGACAAGGCTGATCGAGAAAGAGAAACTGTTCTTTCTCGATCAGCTCATCCTCGAGCTGACAGGGAAGGGACAGACAGCACAGCTACTGCAGCTGTGCTGTCTGTCACTGTTTGCTGCCGATCGCCGGGACATAGCCGCTAAGGACCGGCTGTGACCCGGCGACTGACATCTGCGGCGGTGATTGGCGGGACAGATAGGGCGGCGGCGCGCCTCTCGCGCGCCCCCTATTTGTTTACAAAACACATGTTTTAAAACGTGGTTTTGCCTGCGAGTGCCGCCCTGCCGCCATATATGTACAGTGGCTGGGCGGCATGTAGTTAAGAGGTTATTTTCCCACAGGCCAAAGAACCCCTAGCAACTTCTGGAGGAACCTTATAGTTTCATGGAACCCTGGTTGAGAATGGCTGCAATAGAGGGACACTTATGACAGGTCCGAGATATATTTGTTTGTATTACTTGGTGCACACTGAAATATCTCCATCAGTAAAAGGTTCCTCACCTTTACATTCTAGCCAAACCGTCGCTCTTTTTAGGCTCCATGCACACGGGACGTTTTGATAACACTGGTAACGTTAGCTGTGTAAAGTCACATTAAAAACGTGAGTTTTTCAGCTTTTTTTATTGTTTTTACATTAGCATTTAGCGGCGTTTTGCCGCAATTAGCGTCGTTTTTCAGTGTTAGAGCATTTTTACAGCTAAAAAACTCCTCTAGAAACCCACTAGTCCTGGTTTTTTTTTATCAACCAAAAATTATCCCAGCCAAAAAACGTTGATCACAGTCTATGTGTGCATGGACACATAGGATAACATACTGGGGGGGTTTAATGGCTGTAGAAATAAACTTCAAAAGCCAAAAACAGCCGCTGTAAAAACGTCAAGTGTGCATGAGGACTAAAGTAGAAACCTAGTCAAAACT